TGGCTCCAGCATGGAGTCCATATCTAGTCAAGCATAAGACTAAACTGGAAAAGGTTCAAAGGTCTGCCACCAGACTAGTACCCGAACTGAGAGGTATGAGCTACGTGGAGAGACTTCGGGAATTAAACCTTACGTCACTGGGAGACAAAAGAGTTAGAGGGGACTTGATCACCATATACAAAATTTTCAAAGGAATTGATAAAGTAGATGAGGACAGACTATTTAACACAAGGGGCACACGCACTAGGGGACACAGGTGGAAACTGAGTGCCCAAATGAGCCATAGAGACGTAAGAAAGAATTTTTCAGTGTCAGAGTGGTTGACAAATGGAATGCATTAGGAAGTGATGTGGTGGAGGCTGACTCCATACACAGCTTCAAGTGTAGATATGATAGAGCCCAATAGGCTCAGGAACCTGTACATTAGTTGATTGACTATTGAGAGGCGGGACTAAAGAGCCAGAGCTCAAACCCCCGCAAGCACAACTAGGTAAATTAGGTAAGTACAAACACACACACACACACACACTCACACACACATCCGGCAGGTGTGGCCACAGGTGGTGGGACTGTTAGTGTGTGTGGTACACAACATGCTAGGGATCACCCAGGTGTGTCACCACACCTGCACCTCCACACCCCAACACTGTCCTCCCAGACCACCACCATACTGGCAGTACAGAGTGCTGTCGAAACCTCAGCTGACACGTGTGTGTTGAGCGAGAGAGAGAGAGAGAGAGAGAGAGAGAGAGAGAGAGAGAGAGAGAGAGAGAGAGAGAGAGAGAGAGAGAGAGAGAGAGACAGACAGACAGACAGACAGACAGACAGACAGACAGACAGACAGACAGACAGACAGACAGACAGACAGACAGACAGACAGACAGAGAGACAGAGAGACAGAGAGACAGAGAGACAGACAGACAGACAGAGAGACACACACACACACACACACACGTGGTTCACCTACCGTTGTGGTCCTTCAGGTTAAGGGCTTCCTTGTAGTTAAGATTCAGGGATAGTTCAGCCATCTCTGGCCATTCTTCGTGTCCTCTGAATCCCACTGTGACGATGCTGACATTTCCAAACACCCCTTTGCTTATTGGGGAACAAATCTGCCTAATCTTTCCATACTGGCAGAATGTATATGTTCATATGTATATATTGTATACATAGAAGAGGGGGAAAGGGGTGATTTGGGGCCCTGACGTGGCTGACAGACCCCCACTGTTCTTGTAGGGACACCTGTCACCCTCACTCACCCTCACTCACCACTATATTAACGTACGAACTGTTCCGGATCAACAAGGAGTTACTTGTGCAAGTATGGGAGTCATTTACATGCCAGTGAGACACGCGCGTGTGTTATGAGAGACGTGTGCGTGAGACATGAGTTAGAGGTGAGTCACTCATGGTGTCCCCTTCCTCATTCACCACATCCTAGACACTGTGTATATATATTATATACAAGTTACTGCTTAGGGAGGTGGGGTGAGGGGCAGAAAATGAGGGGTAGACGCAGGTGTGAGGGGGGAGGGAGGGGGGAAGACGCAAGGTGTGAGGTGAGACGCAAGGAATGAGGTGAGACGCAAGGAATGAGGTGAGACGCAAGGTATGATGAGTGCGTTGCAGCCGACGGTACGGAACTGGCGGTGGCGGTGTGGTGTGGGTGAGTGTTGGTGGAGGTGTGTGTGTGTGTGTGTGTGTGTGTGTACGTGTGTGTGTGTGTGTGTGTGTGGAGGGTGGGGGGGGGGGGGGGGGGGGGGGGAGGTGGTGCACCTGGCCGCACTGCTCTGTCAGCTGCTGCTGCTCGTGCCCGCGCGTGTGTGTGTGTGTGTGCGCGCGTGCGTGTGTGTCGCAGCACCAGCTCACCTGCACGCATGCGCACCCAACTCCATCACCCTCCCTCCCCCTCTGACTCCCACCCACAGAGCCCCTCCTCTCATTTACCGTACGCTCTAAGGTGTGTGTGTGTGTGTGTGTGTGTGTGTGTGTGTGTGTGTGTGTGTGTGTGTGTGTGTGTGTGTGTGTGTGTGTGTGTGTGTATATACTTGCCTAGTAGTGCTTGCGGGGGTTGAGCTCTGGCTCTTTGGTCCCGCCTCTCAACTGTCAATCAACAGGTGTACAAGCTCCTGAGCCTATTGGGCTCTATCATATCTACACTTGAAACTGTGTATGGAGTCAGCCTCCACCACACCACTGCCTAATGCATTCCATTTACTAACCACTCTGACACTGAAAAAATTCTTTCTAATGTCTCTGTGGCTCATTTGGGTACTCAATTTCCACCTGTGTCCCCTTGTTCGTGTCCCACCCGTGCTGAAGAGTTTGTCTTTGTCCACCCATGTCAATTCCCCTGAGAATTTTGTAGGTGGTTATCATGTCTCCCCTTACTCTTCTGTTTTCCAGGGATGTGAGGTTCAGCTCCTTCAGCCTCTCCTCGTAGCTCATACCTCTCAGTTCCGGGACAAGTCTGGTGGCATACCGCTGAATCTTCTCTATCTTTGTCTTGTGTTTAACTAGATATGGACTCCAGGCAGGAGCTGCATATTCCAGGATTTGTCTGACATAAGTGTTGTGCAAGGTCCTGAACGATTCCTAAAGTTTCTAAAGGCAGTTCTTATGTTGGCCAACCTGGCATATGCCGCTGATGATATCCTTTTGATGTGGGCAAGGAATGAGGGACTAGGAATAGTGTGTGTGTGTGTGTGTGTAAGGAGGCATTTAGGGCGCTTTACACTGCCTACGTGAGGCCAGTCTTAGAGTATGCCGCCTCATCATGGAGTCCCCATCTGAAGAAGCATATAATGAAACTGGAAAAGGTTCAGAGGTTTGCAATGAGACTCGTCCTAGAGTTACGAGGGATGGGGTATGAGGAGCGCCTGAGGGAACTGTGCCTTACGACACTAGAAAGAAGGGAGAGGGGGGACATGATAGGAACGTATAAAATACTCAGAGGGATTGACAGAGTGGACATAGACGAAATGTTCACACGGAATAGTAACAGAACGAGGGGACATGGATGGAAGCTTGAAACTCAGATGAGTCACAGAGATGTTAGGAAGTTTACCTTTAGCGTGAGAGGAGTGGGAAAATGGAATGCACTTGGGGAACAGGTTGTGGAAGCAAATACTATTCATAATTTTAAAACCAGGTATGATAGGGAAATGGGACAGGAGTCATTGCTGTAAACAACCGATGCTCGAAAGGCGGGATCCAAGAGTCAATGCTCGATCCTGCAGACACAACTAGGTGAGTACAACTAGGTGAGTACACACACACAGATGTAGACAGTTCACGACAGTCATTTGTCTTCTACGTTACCAACAAGAACTGGCAAGCGTAGGCCGAGGGGAGATGGAAGGGGAGAGGGGAGAGGAGGGAGACAATTGAGGGAGTGTAATTGCCACTATGTGAAGTGACTTGTATTCTTGTTCCAAACTTGGAGGTGATTGAGCAATTAGCAGCAAAACTTCGATTGGGGTAATCCCCTGTTCCTCCCCCTCCCTCCCCACTGCTTCCTCTCCCACCACCTGGTGAACCCCAGGGACCCCACCTGGTGACCCCCAGGGACCCCACCTGGTGACACCCCAGGGACCCCACCTGGTGACCCCATGGACCCCACCTGGTGACCCCCAGGGACCCCACCTGGTGACACCCCAGGGACCCCACCTGGTGACCCCATGGACCCCACCTGGTGACCCCATGGACCCCACCTGGTGACCCCCAGGGACCCCACCTGGTGACCCCATGGACCCCACCTGGTGACACCCCAGGGACCCCACCTGGTGACCCCATGGACCCCACCTGGTGACCCCCAGGGACCCCACCTGGTGACCCCCAGGGACCCCACCTGGTGACCCCAGGGACCCCACCTGGTGACCCCACCTGGTGACCCCAGGGACCCCACCTGGTGACCCCAGGGACCCCACCTGGTGACCCCAGGGACCCCACCTGGTGACACCCCAGGGACCCCACCTGGTGACACCCCAGGGACCCCACCTGGTGACACCCCAGGGACCCCACCTGGTGACCCCCAGGGACCCCACCTGGTGACCCCATGGACCCCACCTGGTGACCCCCAGGGACCCCACCTGGTGACACCCCAGGGACCCCACCTGGTGACCCCCAGGGACCCCACCTGGTGACCCCCCAGGGACCCCACCTGGTGACCCCATGGACCCCACCTGGTGACCCCAGGGGACGCCAACCTCCTCTCCAAGAATCGCAGTTTTCTATTCTCAATAAATAATATCCTGAACCTAAGAATTTACTCCCTCGATGCCTTCGTAAATTATTATTTTTTATTGATAGCTTTCATGCAGGAACGGCAAATAAAATATATATATATATATATATATATATATATATATATATATATATATATATATATATATATATATATATATATATATATATATATATATATAATTTTTTTTTCTGTTTGGTAATACAAGGAAAAGTTTGTGAGTGTGGGGGAGATAGTTCAGTGTCTGGCCTCACTACACGGCCAGAATCATGGCTGCTGATTCATTGATGTTTTTATCATCATGAAAGAAAAACATCAATGATTCAGAATCAGTGATGTTTTCTGCTTGACTCACGTTCAACATCTGCTGTGTGTGTATTCACCTAGTTGTATTCACCTAGTTATGCTTGCGGGGGGTTGAGTTCTACTCTTTCGACCCGCCTCTCAACTGTCAATCAATTAACTGTTACTAAGTATTTTTTTTTAATTTTTTTCCATATACACCGAAGGACAGCTGTCCAACTCTCAGGTACCTATTCACTGCTAGGTAAACAGGGCATCAGGGTGAAAAAAACTCTGCCCATCTGTTTCCGCCCGCGCCGGGAATTAAAACCCAGCACCACAGGACTACGTATCCAGCGTGCTGTCCACTCAGCCACCAGCGCCCCTCCCCTCTGCCACCTTCTGCAGTGTGTGTGTGTGTGTGTGTGTGTGTGAGTGAGTGAGACATAGAGGTATAAAGAAAACAATAATCTAGGCTGGTGTACAGAGTTTATTTTCGATATTGTAATGTGACAATATGAGTTTCTGGAGAACTGAAATAGTCCATCATCTTCACGTTAAGACACGTCAAGACACGTCTAGACACGTCTAGGCACGTCAAGACACGTCAAGACACGTCTAGACACGTCAAGACACATCTAGACATTAAAAATACACAACACAGACTTTTTATTATTTCATATTGAAATATAATTACACCACAATACACTTATGGATCAAAAAGTGACCTGCACTTTAATAAATATATTTTTGTTTAACACAACAAATAAAGAGATACAACCCCCCCAAATACGTCTGTGAGGGTCGGATGTTTGTAAACAAAGTCTTTGGGGGGAAGAAGCGAGGGTCTAAATGCGCAAATAAATATTAATGAACAAAAAAAATGACTACATACAACTACATCAGGACGTTACACACACACACACACAAAAATAAATAACGGAGGATATTACTAACTAATTTACTAACCATAAAAGAGGGAGATGATGATGATGGTTGTAGTGGGTTTCTCACGCTCTGAAGAATCTCAAGTTATGATTCATCATGAAAGGCAGTAGTATTCATCCTGGTGAACAGTGGGGGGGGGGAGGTGTCTGGGTTACACTTGCGCTACACAGGTGTCACATCTGTGTCACACCTGTGTCACATCTGTGTCACACCTGTGTCACATCTGTGTCACATCTCTGTCACATCAGCAGCCCCGCGCCGCCCTTCTTTCCCTCACTTACCAAAACAAGTGGTGTGCATATCTGGTGTTTAACTATTATGGTGCGATATAACCCAAGAGACCCGGAAGTAAATTGATGTTATAACCGGAAATGGTCCACCAAGATAACCAAAAAGTAGACAGATAAGATAACCGGATGAAAGACCAATGACCCGAGACCCCGAGTTCGTCTTACCTCTGTAGGTCCGAAACTCATTAACAGAAAACTGAAGAACATTGTGAAGATGAACAAGATCAAATATCACAGAAGAACAGGTTAGAAAGTATGTCTTAAGAACAGTGAACAAGAAGCCCCCCTATTCTTGTTCAACTGAATAAAAGAATATGTGTAACCACAGCTGAGATCAAAAGTGTTCATCTGGTATAAGACTCGTGAACAATGAACAGCCACAACCTGCTAACGAGTGGATGAATTGAGAACGTTATTGAAATGACTTAGTTTCTGCCTTGTTAGACATTTGACGAAACTATAAGAAGTAATAATGTGACCGCCAGGGTGTCTGAATCTACCTGTGAATGCCTGTGACCTCGTCCACCTGTGACCTCGTCTACCTGTGACCTCGTCTACCTGTGACCGCGTCTACCTGTGACCTCGTCCACCTGTGACCTCGTCTACATGTGACCTCGTCTACCTGTGACCGCGTCTACCTGTGGCCGCGTCTACCTGTGGCCGCGTCTACCTGCCGCTGTAGGCATACACCAGGCTGTCTCAGCTTGTGTTTGTGCACTGTGTTTGTTGATGATAATTGGGACGAAACGAGTATGAAGTATGAGACGAAACGACACTATGTATCGCGTGTTAACGCGATACATAGTGTCCAAATATGTGTGTCTGGTGTTTCTGCAACACAACACGAGGGCGGCCAGACAGTACCGTGAGAGAGAGACAACGTCACAGGTGACGTAGGTTGACGTCCAAGGAACATACAGTGTGTGTGTGTGTGTGTGTGTGTGTGTGTGTGTGTGTGTGTGTGTGTGTGTGTGTGTGTGTGTGTGAGTGTGAGTGTGAGTGTGACTTCTCCAATAGTGCAGGACCGTCGAGCCACAGCCACACACGCTACAAAGCCCCAACAGGAAGACCGTCTTCATAGCGTGTTGACACGCACGCCCGTCTGAGAGAGAACACTGGCCAGGCCCTCAGTGGTGGCCACGACTCCTTCCGTAGAAGAGGGTATTGGAGTACGCCTGCTGGATGACGTTATTAAAGTTATGTTGAGTGAAGTGCGAGTGGCTGGAAGAGCCACCGCCGCCGCTGGAGGGAGACTCCGCTGACAGGCCGCTGTCTTCCTGTTCTTCCTTGCCGGTCTTCTCGTCTGCTTCCTCGAAGGGACGAGGCAGCTCCCTGGAGAAGATGTTCTGAAGGCTGGCCTCGTCGTAGTCCCCGTACACGTCCTCGGTCTCCAGGTAGAAGAGCTGCTCCTCCGAAGTGCCCGAGGTGTCCGCGCCCTGGGGGCCGGAGTCGAGGTCGTCCTCGTAGTAGTCGGTCTCTTGCTGGCTGTAGGGAAGGAGGCAGGAGGGTGTGGTCAGTGGAGAGCTCTGGCTCAACTTACGCTCGCTTACATATAATAATACATATACCACAGATATGCATGTATACTTCTCATAATGGAGGAGGGCTTATGTGTACTTGTATATTGGCGTTCATATGTGAATAATATAAAGTTTGTATAAAGCACGCGGGTGCGCGCGCGCACACACACACACACACACACACACACACACACACACACACACACACACACACACACACACACACACACACACACACACACACACACACACACACAGGCGTGAATTACAGATCCATTTATATCTACAGGATATAAAAATAAAGGCATCAGGTGGCTAAGAGGTACGAGACGGGGGCCCTAGAGCTAAATGCCAGTGTGGCACACACAGGTAGACCCTTCCTCCCCTCCCCCCCCCTCACAGGTAAACACCCCCACCCCCCCACAGGTAGACTAACACACCCACACAGAGGAGGAGGAGGCCACGCGTCCCTCCCCCCCCCCCCCCCAAAAAGCGGTGGTCGCCATAACAATGCTCAGTAATGACACTGTTCAAGAAACTTTTGTAGGGGGGGGGGGAAGGGGGGGGGGAAGGGGGGGGGGTGGTTATGCCCGTCGTCAGCTTACGATAACTGCCCCCTCCCCCCCCCCCCCCCGCCCCCCTGATCGTTACCCTCGGCTTAGGTGCCCCAGGGTGTGCTGGGGGGAGGACACATACACACACACACACACACACACACACACACACACACACACACACACACACACACACACACTAATTTAATACAAGGGGGGGGGGGCACACGCACAAGGAGGACACAGGTGGAAACTGAGTGCCCAAATGAGCCATAGAGACGTTAGAAAGATTTTTTTTTCAGTGTCAAGAGTAGTAGACAAATGGAATGCATTAGGCAGTGATGTGGTGGAGGCTGACTCCATACACAGTTTCAAGTGTAGATATGATAGAGGCCCAGTAGGCTCAGGAACCTGTACACCAGTTGATTGACGGTTGAGAGGCGGGACCAAAGAGCCAGAGCTCAACCCCCGCAAGGGCAACTAAGGTGAGTACACACACACACACACACACACACACACACACACACACACACACACACACACACACACACACACACACACACACACACGTCTCTGCTAGAATAGTTATAATGCCTCATAAACACACCATTGTCCAAATATAATTCCTCTTCCTCAACTTGTGTAGATTTAATCTGATTACGATGAGAAGTTGTGTATGTGGCGCCGTTGTTTGGCCTGGGTTGTTGGTGGGGAGTTACTTCACCTCTGTCTATACTACAAAGGTACCCGGCGATGCCCGGGGGCTTTCCCCACCCCCCTCCCCTTTTTTTCCCCCAATTTGTCCCCCCCTTTTTCCAACTTTTCACCTCATTTCCCCCCTCTCCTTGAACCCCCTCGTCCTCCCCTGCTCCCCCTTCTCCTAGAAAATGTCTAAGAAACACTGAAGACGTGTATGGGCCTCTCAGAAAATATATTACTACGATCACTAAAAACTCTATGGAACTCGCACCAAATATTTCACACTTGACTATGAAAATCACACGAGGGTTGGGTTATAATTGCTAATATTTATTTCAAGCATTAAGTTACGCCTACACGAGCAACTATGTCCATCCCATACCTCACACAATTTCCCTGCAAGTTTGAGCGAGGCTAGCCCCGAGCATCTGGGCCTCCCACCGCACAGACAATATCTCTTATAGTTTAGATTTGTCTATATTGAGACGAGGCGTCATAATAACGGGGCTGAGGATATGGTAACCAAACCACACATCAGAAAACGGAGGAACGACGACGTTTTGATCCATCTTGGAGCAAAAGCCAAGAATAGGATGAAGGTAAGAATGATAATTATCACATTCTTGCTTTTTTTTTCCTCTTACCTGCTCCTCACCTCTCGCCTCACTCTATTTGCCTGACTTAATAATGGTTCACAACGGACCATACCGTCGTCGGTTCTCCGTTTTCTGTTGTGTGGTTTGGTTATCGTATGTATATTTACATGTTTATATATATATATATATACATAGACTCTTAGGGGGGTCAGTTAAAAATTAATTTACTCTATTGCACTGGTTTGTACAGCGACGACCTCACTTCCTGCAGGTCGTCGCTCGATCCCTGATGGTCCAAATGGCAGCCCAAACGATCATAAACAACATTCCTCATATCCCTTAAGGCTATACAGTCACCCTGGCTAATTAGATTGCCCTGATAATTAACTAATCTCCCCTTCCCCTACCCCTCCGTCTCTCTCTCTCTCTCTCTCTCTCTCTCTCTCTCTCTCTCTCTCTCTCTCTCTCTCTCTCTCTCTCTCTCTCTCTCTCTCTCTCTCTCTCTCTCTCTCTCTCTCTCTCTCTCTCACCTGGGGCTGGAGTATGTAGGGACGTGAGAGAAGTTGAAGTCTCCGCCAGCGTAGACGAGGCTGGGGTAGTCCTCCCTCCAGGCTGTTAGGTTGAGAGCCGGGATCCCGGGCCCGTAGCACGACTGGCGGGTGTTCCTGTGGATGGCACAGACACCCAGGTGGGTGAATAGTGGGTGAACCTCGTCCCTCTTACCCACCCCACGGGCGGTCTACACTATTTACACCCCCTCACAGTCATCATTTACACCCCTCAGTTACCATTTACAAGCTGAAAACATCTATTTGCAAGAAGTGTAGATATTTCAAGGATTACAGCCATGATTTATGGAATTACAGCCAGGATTTACGTAGTTACAACCAGGATATACAAGGGTACAGCCTGGATTTACAGGGTTACAGCCAGGATTTACCAGGATTTACAAGTATTACACGCTACAGCCAGGATATATATATCCAGAATTATAATTATGAATTATTACCAAGGAATTATAGGAGTACATGAACTAAGGCCATTCAAAAGGTCTAGTGGCCCCATATGAGGCAGCTCCTGTTTATATCCACCCATAGTCATCCATGCATGTCTAACCTACGCCTGAAACAATCAAGTGACCTCTCGTCTATTGTGTTAATCGGTAAATTGTTGCACAGCTCAACAACCCTGTTTCCAAACGGCTTATTTATCAATATCTTTCCTGGTTTTGTTGTTCTATCTTTTGACTATATACCATTGACAGCAGCAGTCAATGGCCCTCCATTCTCTGTGAACCAGGAGCAGTCAATGGCCCTCCATTCTCTGTGAACCAGGAGCAGTCAATGGCCCTCCATTCTCTGTGAACCAGGAGCAGTCAATGGCCCTCCATTCTCTGTGAACCAGGAGCAGTCAATGGCCCTCCATTCTCTGTGAACCAGGAGCAGTCAATGGCCCTCCATTCTCTGTGAACCAGGAGCAGTCAATGGCCCTCCATTCTCTCTGAACCAGTCACTGGCCCTCCATTCTCTGTGAATCAGAAGCAGTCACTGGCCTCCCATTCTCTGTGACTAATCTCGCAGTTCCTGTGGGCCACAAAGCAGCAACTAACCTCCCGTTTTCTGTAACTGGTCTGAAGAGACTGGGCTGTAGTTCGTCGATGTCGTCGAGGTTGTCGCAGAGGACCCGCGCCAGGGTGACCTTCCGCACCTCCCGCAGCTGCTCCGGCGTCAGTGAAGACACCAGCCCACCGTTCTCGAACCAGAAGCGGTCGCCTGCGGCAGGGGGGGAAAAGATGGCGTGAGGGTAGGCTACTATTAGAAGATCGGGTAGACTCCAGGCTGGCTGGCTGGGGTCGTGTTTTGCACAGGAAGTTGAAGCAAGAGGAGCGGTGAGGGTCAAGTGTGTTTGAGTGGTGAGGCAGGTGTGAGGAGCAGGCCAAGAGGCAGGTATGAGGGGAGCAGGCCAGGGGACAGACCAGGAGGCAGGTGTGAGGGGAGCAGGCCAGGAGGCAGGTGTGAGGGGCAGGATATACTCACCACGGCGGAGGTTGAGGAACTGCTGACCCAGGATGCAGGCGAAGGTAGGGCCTACCAGGCCGCGGATGACCGGCTTCTCCGCCAAACCTCCCGGGAACAAGTCGATGTCATCCACGTGTCTGTCAGCACAAACCTCACGTCAGCACATCCTATATCACATCCTACACATCCTATATCACATCCTGTATCACATCCTACATTAGATCTATATATTGTATCCACAGTCGGGGACAGGAAGCCTGTACATAGTGTTACCGAGGTCCCCCCAGGCCTCCTGAGACTCCCCAGGATGAAACTCATAACAGTTGCCTATAACTCCCGGGGTACTTATTTGCTGCTAGGTGAACAGGAGTATGAGGTGTACGTAAGGTGCCTATAAACGCTTCGTCCTGCGCTGGAATGGAACCCGGGACCTTCAGGCTGACACCTTTTTCTTCCCCCAGCCTGTTCCCCCCCCCCTAGCTCCCCATTCTCCCCCTCCCCCAAAAGGGGCGACGCGTCCCTTAAATCTGGACTTTCACTAAGCTGGCGACACCGGTAATTATGTCACGAAACGTTCCGTTTTGATCCCCGAGTATCTGCGTGGTTCCCCGAGTATCTGCGTGGTTCCCCGAGTATCTGCGTGGTTCCCCGAGTATCTGCGTGGTTCCCTGAGTATCTGCGTGGCTCCCTGAGTATCTGTGTGGTTCCCCGAGTATCTGCGTGGTTCCCCGAGTATCTGTGTGGTTCCCCGAGTATCTGCGTGGCTCCCTGAGTATCTGTTTGGTTCCCCGAGTATCTGTGTGGTTCCCCGAGTATCTGCGTGGCTCCCTGAGTATCTGTGTGGTTCCCCGAGTATCTGCGTGGCTCCCTGAGTATCTGTGTGGTTCCCCGAGTATCTGCGTGGCTCCCTGAGTATCTGCGTGGCTCCCTGAGTATTTGCATGGTTCCCCGAGTATCTGCGTGGCTCCCTGAGTATCTGCATGGCTCCCTGAGTATCTGCGTGGTTCCCTGACATAAAAAGGTAAAAGTTTCTCGAGAAAGACTTTCGGGGTTAACCCTCGCACCACTGAAGACTTTTAAGAGTGCCAGAGATGAAGTAAAGACAAGACTGTCAGACATTAAAAGGTGCAGGTTTCTCGGGCAGGTCGCACTGGTATTATTGTCTTTATTACCCGTTAGGTTTTGTCAGGGAAGTCAACCGGGGGGGGGGGGGTGGTGTTAAGCCTGTCAGAAAAACTAGTTTAGTTTGCCTATAATCTTCCCACCGACCTGTAGAGAGAAACTAGTTTAGTTTGCCCATAATCTTCCCACCGACCTGTAGAGAGAAACTAGTTTAGTTTGCCCATAATCTTCCCACCGACCTGTAGAGAGAAACTAGTTTAGTTTGCCTATCATCTTCCCACCGACCTGTAGAGAGAAACTAGTTTAGTTTGCCTATAATCTTCCCACCGACCTGTAGAGAGAAACTAGTTTAGTTTGCCCATAATCTTCCCACCGACCTGTAGAGAGAAACTAGTTTAGTTTGCCCATAATCTTCCCACCGACCTGTAGAGAGAAACTAGTTTAGTTTGCCCATCATCTTCCCACCGACCTGTAGAGAGAAACTAGTTTAGTTTGCCCATCATCTTCCCACCGACCTGTAGAGAGGGGGGAGACTGACCTGTATACAGCTGCCAGCCTGCCCACCGTGTCGTCGTCCATGACCTGCAGGAGCTCGCCCCAGTTGCTGAACCTGTGCAGGCCACACTGCTCCCTCCAGATGTTGTAGGCTGGCAGACCGTGGTCCCGCCCACGCTGCATGTTGAGGGAGGCCAGGTCCATCCCGTAGTGATGACCTGCCACACACACACACACAGGTCACTACAACACGGCGGTCATAACCATAATATAATAATAATAATACAACTATTCCTATATTATTATTATGTCAGCTAATCATTATTATTATTGTTTTACAAGAGGCTGACGCGGTCATAGTTACCAGTACAGCCACTAACCTCTCGTACTCTCTCTCTCTCTCTCTCTCTAGGCATATGTTATGTGACAGAGAGAGAGAGAGAGAGAGAGAGAGAGAGAGAGAGAGAGAGAGAGAGAGAGAGAGAGAGAGAGAGAGAGAGAGAGAGAGAGAGAGAGAGAGATTGAGATACGCTCATAGAATCATCAGTAGTTTCATCTGCTCTTGTATGACTACATATCATAAGTGCATAATTGCATATTTTCTGCCAATACAGGTCATTACTGATCGTTCGCTCGCTCTGGCAGCACTTCTCCGTTTTCTATGACAAGCGAGAGTTTGGCAACACTTCTCCTCCGTTTTCTGACTTGGAAATCAATAGAAGCTTCCTTGAAAACTTCCATCGCCTCACTTCTACCCTCACCGCGTCTCCATTACTTTTCCTCGCTTCTATCTTCCCTGAATCAATATTGCATTCAAATAAAAATAAAAAATCTTGGCAAGATATCGACATGTTAAAAATTTATATAAATTGCGCCCCCTCCTTTCTGAGGCTGAAGAGCCAATCAGAGCTCTCGTCTGGCTCTCGTCGACCTCCTCGACCAATCGCAGCGCGAGCCGCAGGACCCTCACGTGGATCCGGCTGTGCTATTGGTTGAGCCTTCTCAACACGTTGAAGCGAGTCTCTAAATTAATTGGAAAGGACGAACATGAGCATGTCACATGTAGGACTTATGTTGGCACGTGACATGTAGGACTTGTGTTGGCACGTGACATGTAGGACTTGTGTTGGCATGTGACATGTAGGACTTGTGTTGGCATGTGACATGTAGGACTTGTGTTGGCATGTGACATGTAGGACTTGTGTTGGCATGTGACATGTAGGACTTGTGTTGGCATGTCACATGTAGGACTTGTGTTGGCATGTCACATGTAGGACTTGTGTTGGCATGTCACATGTAGGACTTGTGTTGGCACGTGACATGTAGGACTTGTGTTGGCATGTCACATGTAGGACTTGTGTTGGCATGTCACATGTAGGACTTGTGTTGGCATGTCACATGTAGGACTTGTGTTGGCATGTCACATGTAGGACTTGTGTTGGCATGTCACATGTAGGACTTGTGTTGGCATGTCACATGTAGGACTTGTGTTGGCATGTCACATGCAGGACTTGTGTTGGCATGTCACATGTAGGACTTGTGTTGGCATGTCACATGTAGGACTTGTGTTGGCATGTCACATGTAGGACTTGTGTTGGCATGTCACATGTAGGACTTGTGTTGGCACGTGACATGTAGGACTTGTGTTGGCATGTCACATGTAGGACTTGTGTTGGCATGTCACATGTAGGACTTGTGTTGGCATGTCACATGTAGGACTTGTGTTGGCATGTCACATGTAGGACTTGTGTTGGCATGTCACATGTAGGACTTGTGTTGGCATGTCACATGTAGGACTTGTGTTGGCATGTCACATGCAGGACTTGTGTTGGCATGTCACATGTAGGACTTGTGTTGGCATGTCACATGTAGGACTTGTGACGGCATGTCACATGTAGGACTTGTCTTGGCATGTGACGTGTAGGACTTGTGTTGGCATGTCACATGTAGGACTTGTGTTGGCATGTCACATGTAGGACTTGTGTTGGCATGTCGCGTATGCCAGAAAAATATGACTTTGGGTCCTGTTGACCCAGACTGACCTGGGGTCTGGAAGAGGTGACCCGGACTGACCTGGGGTCTGGAAGAGGTGCCTGGTGACCTGGACTGACCTGGGGGTCTGGAAGAGGTGACCCGGACTGACCTGAGGTCTGGAAGAGGTGCCTGGTGACCTGGACTGACCTGGGGTCTGGAAGAGGTGCCTGGTGACCTGGACTGACCTGGGGTCTGGAAGAGGTGCCTGGTGACCTGGACTGACCTGGGGTCTGGAAGAGGTGCCTGGTGACCTGGACTGACCTGGGGTCTGGAAGAGGTGCCTGGTGAGTTCGTTGGTCATGTACACATCACGTCCTTGGGCCATCTCGAAGGCCAGGCCCAGCATGAGGCGGTCCACGCTGCCGAAGTTGTGAATGTTGGCCGGGTTCATGAGTTCCTCGTGTAGCTTGATGCCTGTGAGGGGGAGGGAGGGTATGAGGCAGGCTGTGAGGGGGGAGGGAGGGTATGAGGGGGGGGGGAAGTGAGAGTAAGGAAGCTCTCTGTGAGTGTGTGAGGTGAGAGCGAGGTATATAATTTAACAGGAATATGAGCGAAGTAGTTCATTTATATTCACTGGTTTCAAAAGATGACAAAAGACCCACAAGTCGAGAGTCATGTCATTAGACGATCAGCGCCGGGAAGGTTGGGGCCCAAGAGTTGAAGTTCGATGTTGCAGGCACATGTAGGCGAGCACAGATAAGCTAGTCCCTTCCCCCTCCCCCACACACACACACACTCGGATCAGAAAGTTAAAGAACAGTTTTAAGTGTGAATTAATAAAAGTTAGTTGTGTGTGTGTGGGGGGGGGGTTTGTACTCACCTAGATGTATATACAGGGTCGAGCTGGGACTCCCGGGCCTGGCTCTCGAGCGCTCTTCGTTTAAGACAGTGTTGTTTCTCGAGTTTTTCTTATATATAACATTGTATCTTAAGTTACCTTCAGCTATACTTTGTTCAACTCAATCCAGTTATTTTCAGGTCTAATCTAACACTCAAATTCTTCCTGACCTCCCTCTATTTTATTAGTTATGCCAAGATCTTGTATGACGTGATCATTTCTCCCTGTATGTCCTCTTCCCCCCCCCCCACCCCACAGTGTGGTGGGTCCACTTCCCTCACACCTTCCCAGCTCACTCATCAGTGTAGGAACCACACCTGTCACTCTTCTGGACAGCTTCTCCTATCATCTAGTGTTTGTTTCACATGTGGGGGCTGCATAATCAATGGTGCGTCTCACGTAGGTTATATATAATAGCAGCACCCGGAACCTTGACCACTATGACATATGACCCCTGATTTAAGTGTGTGTGTGTGTGTGTGTGTGTATGTGTGTGTGTGTGTGTGTGTGCGCGTGTGTGTGTGTGTACTCTCCTACTTGTGCTTACGGGGGTTGAGCTCTGGCTCTTTGGTCCCGCCTCTCAACTGTCAATCATCTGGTGCACAGGTGTGCGTGTGTGTGTGTGTGTGTGTGTGTGTGTGTGTGTGTGTGTGTGTGTGTGCACGCGCGTATACTCTCAACCCGTCAAGGAGTGCCAGGGAGGTCGTCACACTTACTGAAGGGCACCCTGCGCCCCGTCTTGTCGCAGCGCATGAGGGAGTGTTGGACGAGGCTGTGGCCGAATCTGAAGGCGGCGGTGGCGAAGGCGTTGGTGGCGGTGGGGTTGGTGGCGGGGCGGTAGCCGCGGTAGTAACCGTACCTCTGTAGCGGCAGACGAAACACCTTCATCACCGCCGGACCTGCGGACGGAACACCACCCCGCAGCTCAGCGTGATTTGTTGTGGACGTCGGTGTTCTGCTTCCCGCCCGCCCTTGTCTTACTCACTATATCCTTCTTGTAGTAGTGTTTCTCACCTCCTACACCCACTTAGCACCTTCCCACACTCACCTAGCACCCCCCACACCCACCTAGCACCTCCCTACATTCACCTAGCACCCCCCACACCCACCTAGCACCTCCCTACACCTACCTAGCACCCCACACACCCACCTAGCACCTCCCTACATCCACCTAGCACCCCCCTGCACCCACCTAGCACCTCCCCACACCCACCTAGCACCTTCCACACCCCACCTAGCACCCTTCCACACCCACCTTGCACCTCCCACACACCCACCTAGCACCCACACACCCACCTAGCACCCCAACACACCCATCTAGCACCTCCCACACCCACCTAACACCCCTCACACCCCACCTAGCACCCCCCACCTAACACCCCTCACACCCCACCTAGCGCCCCCCACACCCCACCTAGCGCCCCTACCCCACCTAGCACCCCTATACCCCACCTAGCACCCCCCACACCCACCTAGCACCCCCCACACCCACCTAGCACCACAGGGAGCCACTCTCCGTAAGTAATCTTCTGCATTTGGGCGCCGACAATCTTGCGGGCTTCGAAGAAGAGCCGGTCATCCGTCCAGTGCGGGTTGACCTCTGACAGCTGGGTCGCCAGGCGGTTGTGTTCTCTGAGCCAGATGGTGTGCATGCTGGTGAGCGCTGACCACCTCCCAGCACCCAGCAGCGGCGGCACCCAGCAGCAGCGGCGGCACCCAGGAGGCAGCAGCGGCGGCACCCAGGAGGCAGCAGCGGCGGCACCCAGGAGGCAGCAGGGGATGGCACCAGGCACAGTGGCGGAGTGAGGGGGAGATATAAAAGGGAAAATGAGTCGCTTGTCAGATATGCTCACTCTCTCGCTGACACTCACTCGCTGACACACTCACTCACTCGCTCACTCACTCGCTCGCTGACAGTCACATTATAAAACGCCGCAGTACTTCAAAGCTTCAAGGAAATATCAACACCGATAACAATAATCAGACAAAAATAATAAAATGACGAAATTACATGAAATACCCTTTATTCTCTTCCCCGAGACTACGGGACCCTTTCAGCTTCACCGGTGGTGGTTACCCCCCCTTCCCCCCCCCCGTCAACTATGTACACATCACTGACATATGTACTTAGTGTCAGTAGCTCCCTGTGGGGGGAGGGGGGGGAGGGGGGGGGTCCGAGGGAGTGGAGAACAATCCGTTTATAATGATTGTTAAGAAGGGATGGTTGGGGGGGGGGGGAGGCCCTATTAACTTCCTTAATGGTCCAGCTGGAGACTGTCTTGTTTCTTAAGTGTGTGTGTGTCTCTCTTGGTTGATGGTTCCCCCCCCCCCCATGTCTAGGTGGTGGTAGGCTGGGTCAGTGAGGATGACCTTCCTCTTCTGTGTGTGTCTCTCTCTCTGTCTCCCTCCTCTTCTCTCTCTCTCAGTCTCCCTTCTCTCTCTCTCATCCTACCTTCTCCCTGTCTCACCCTCCCCCCCTCTCTCTCTCTCAGCCTCTCTCTCCCCCCCCCTCTCACCCTACCCCCCCCCTCCCCCGGGGCCTGGAAGGAACTATCAGGACCGCCATTATCTCAACTGCTTCCACCTCGCCAATTTATAGAGGATTTTCCCCTTGTCTCGGTTCACTTACGATGTGGGGGGGGGGGAGAGGAAGGGTTGGGGAAGGGTAAGGGTAAGTGGGGAACAACACACACACACTGGCCCTGTAGTCTTGGGTAAGCAGGCAGCTTCCCCTAGTGATCTTGCCTAAATCAGCACGCCTAATTGGGCATCATTGAGAACAATAGCTGGAAGCGATAGAGTTGTGTGTGTGTGTGTGTGTGTGTGTGTGTGTGTGTGTGTGTGTGTGTGTGTGTGTGTGTGTGTGTGTGTGTGTGTGTGTTTGTGGCCTACTTGTTCGTGCTGGGAACGAATTTCAGCTCTTGGTCCTCGCCTTTTTACGTTATTGGTTATCTAGTGGTGTCGAACTCGCGCCATTTTGTAAGGGGGAGGTGGGGGGGGGGGTGATCTTGGTGATATATGTGAAGCTGGGATGATGCTGGTCTCTCATTTCCGCTGGGCTGTTTGGCCCTCAAGATGCCCCCCAAGATGCCCCCCTCCCCCATTTCCCTTGAGGTCAATACGCTGTCACCTTACAGGTTCACCTGTGTCTAGTCTTACCTGTGGTGCCTCTGGATAGTCTTACCTGTCTTAAATACACTGCCGGTGTCAGTGTTCACCTACAAGTACTTACCTAGATGAGTCTGCAAGGTCTAGCGTTAATTCCTGTTAGCTCCTGGCCCCGCTTGTCGAGTTGGTAGTTTAATGTAATGACGTTGTGTTGGCGTCTTGTGACAGCTGCACCTGAAGCTGTGTGT